TTTACTGGATTTGCCCCGATTCTGGTCAGATTACTTATATCTGTCGGCAACAGTACTGATTAATCTTTACCAAACAATTAAATTTCAGAGAAACATATCTTTTTCATGTTCCTTGGAGGAATACTACAAGTATACAAGACAGAGATGATTTGGAAAGTAGTTATATGTCGTTCAAATAAAATACGTTTGATACTCGTGTTAATCTTTTCATGAAAATAATATCTCGACATTCAAATAAAGGCATTAAAAATAAATTTACACTCGCAATTAAAAAATATCTAAATTAGCGATCGTTTATTATTTTCACGAAATAAAATTGAGTTTCTCTTGTAGTTTCTCTCGTCCAAGATCAAGTTCAAAGCCAACTGAAAAAGAAACTGTATTTTACTATGTCTCGAAAAAGAGCAGAAATCTTATATAAATAACCTGTAAGTCACCGTAAACTACAAATTCACTTTCAGCATTATAATTTAAGTACACGATATCCCATAGCTTCTCATTGTAAGTAGGTCAATAGCGAGTTTCGTAACCTATGATTAATAAATTTCGAGTTTCATATATGAAATACACGATAAATTGCAAGTTATCTACGTAACATACTGTCTTGATTCCCTTATAGTTTTCTTAAATGATAAATTTTATAATAATGGAAAGAAGGGAAATAGTGAGAGATGGAAATTCACTTAATTTTAATTATATGTATTGTAACGTAACTGGCTACGAGCTGTTCGTTTTAACCTATAATAATTTAACTACGAGAGAAATCAGCCTGAAGAGGTCAGCAAATGTGCTGACGAAACGTTGCTGAATATAATTGAAATTAAGTGAATTTCCATCTCTCACTATTTCCCTTCTTTCCATTATTACAAAATTTATCACTGCAAGTTATCTATTGTGGATACGTTACTAAAGAGTTTTATAACCTGAAAGCATGATGATCTGTAAATTTAACAATGTAGATAGAATAACAATGAGTTTTACAACTCTAATTTATGGTCACCTGTAAGCTTTCAACCGTATGGAAGATACTGAGTTTCATAACCTTTTTACACAATAACCTGCAAGCTCAAGACATCAGATAGGATAACTTCAACTTCATTATCCAAGTGCATAACAACTTATAAGCCCTACATAGCAGACAGGATAACGACGAGTTTTATAATCTAAGTTTAGAATGGCTTGAAAGCTGAAACCGTAGACATTCTTCTTAATTGTATCACCTCATGATTTGCTAGACTTAATTAAGTGTCATCTTTTTTCGAGAAATAATGGGCAAAATTTTACGAAAATGGTATTTCAACTTTGGTAATCCACGGATTTATTGAAAAATAAATATTAAAAATTTTGTCTCTCTCTCTCTCTCTCTCTCTCTCTCTCAGACATGGCGATTGTCCTTGTTCGTTATGAGTGCCGCGATTGTTAGGCTTTCTATTAGACCCGCCAATTATCGCGAAAGTCCTCTGTACCGGTATTTGCGATATCACGCCGGGCAACGAACTGACTGATTATCGAGCTTCTTTGTACAGTAGGTTAACTTATTGTGTAGAATATAGGATAAGATTTGAAATTAACGAATCTACAGCCCTTTATTTTCCTTCCTGTTACTCTAATCCTTAATGCTCAGAGCGTCATTGCCTCTTTTCTCCGTCCTAAATAATTAGTGACGAGCCGTATTATCTCGTTACAAAATAATCTTCTAATATTATTCATTAATTTCAATTGACTTAACTGGTGACGGTTTTTTTAACAATTCATAGGTATAGAAATTAGTATTTATATAATTTTTTGGTTTGTCAATTACATTATCATGACTATTATCAGCATTCGCCTCCTCCAAGGTATTCCAACGAATTTACATAAAAATAAGAAATTACTCAGGTGCATTTCTATATCTAGTCATTACGTTCGACTTCGTTAGTTTTAACGAAGATCTTACTGCATTAAAGTCTTTTTTTTCAATTGTTTGTTGGAAATTATTTTTAAAAAAAGCAATTTTTGTGCGTTATTTAACAATACGGTGTTAAATATTAGTTCAGTGACCTCAAAATTTAAGTTAAATATTAGTTCGGTGCTTTTAGGCAAAGAGATGATAGACAAGGACGCATAGCGGATTGCCGAAGAGAAGCACGGGCAGCCACATAGAGTTCGATGGGCGTCCTGCTCTCTGTCTTCGGCGAAGCGCCCTTGCCCGTCATTTCTGCTAAACAAATTGAAGATGCGGCAACGTGACTACATTACAGTGACTGGCTATTGAATGAGATTAAATAGGACGAAGGGATACGTATTAAGATTTTGCGGACGGATGAGTCCAGATTTGGATGTTGGGATGTTTAATCAATGCGTGTCGTCTTCCACGCCACAAATGATCGCTACTGCCTTAGCGGGCCACCGTCGACAAGGATAGGCGAGGTTCCTAGCGAGGATTTTTTGCGCATCTACTCGACATGTCGTCGGCATCAGAGGCCGAGTCAGGAGGCAGATAACCCTGTTACAACCCTTGGACACACTTTTGCACTCAAGTAATAGCCGGCTTCTTGACCCTTTTTTTCTGTGGCTGGCTCCTTAGCCTCTTAACTTAATTGCTTGTTGTAATTCTTGATGGCTTCTTGGTGGCTAATTGGGCATTTACCAACAAATTTTCGCTTAATTTCCTTAAGAATAATCTATTAAATTGCATCCTTTCTTTTCATTTCCTTTATTTTCTAGCTAAACCAAGCTCGGAACGAGAACTTGATAAGAGATATTAAGGAGATACGGTGCAAAAATTAAATATTTGAATTTAGGCAACTTTTAATTTTTTTTTTCTATTACCAAAATTTTAGAGGAATCTTAAAAGAGGAAAAAATCGTTGTTGGAAACGAAAAATAGGATATAGTCGTAGTTTTATGGCCCTCTCCTCTTATCATCATATTGGCGCTTTCCAGACATGTGTGCAGAGGCTTTGTGCCCTTTACATGCGAGCGATAGAGCGCGACGGGCGAAGGAATGCACACGCACACACACACACACACACACACACACACAAACTTTTATAGTTTAAATATACGGTCCGCTATCACAAATCACAGTATTTCAATAACCATACAAAATATCAACATTATTCTGATAGTCTCGATTTCAGTTCACAGAGATACATGAAAAAGCCTCTACAATATATTCAAAATATTTAATAATTTGGTCGCTAATGTTTGCAATTCAATTATCATGACGCACGCATTCCAACCGAACTCCATTAGCAAATTAGAGTCACTAGTATTCTTCCATATCAATATTAATATAATTAAATTGAACGACCATAGATACCACTTTGAAAAGCCAGGAGCTTTTCCTAGATTAGGTATTATTAGTGTTATTTAATGACGTACTAAAAAATAGTTTATATTTTATGTAAAGAACATCGATTAACTCTCTTAATATGAACAAGAAATATTTTGCTATTTCAATTTATTAATGCTCATATCTTACGAGTCTTCCGTAGATATCCATAGTACGTGAAAATATGTACACAGTAATTGTAAACAATTAGTTAGTTCTTTCATACATTGTTTAAGCCATTAATAATTAAAATGCATCTTCGATAAATTTGTATACCTAACTATTGATCAACTTATGATTTTAAGTACACGTTTTTTTATAAAAAAAAAGAGATTAAGATAATTTGTATATTTTCATACTTCTTTGCACTATTAAATTTTTTTCTTTTAACCGTTGGTATTTGATATTGATTAGATGATATTTAATTTGAAAAATACAAGTTTTCTATGTTTATTGAATATTATTTCCTATGCCAAATAATTCTAACTTGCAAAGCCGCGCCGTGATGGTCGTCGCTTCGATATCATTAATTTAACATTAACTTTTCAGCATAACAGACTGCGAGATAAGCTGTTTTTGTTGCATATTTATGTTGTGAACGATTGTATATATTTATACTGCAGAACTTAAAAAATAGATACCATTTTTGTGTCATCACTGCTTGGTTTAATGATAAACACATTAAAATCAAGTTAAGCGTTGCTTGAATTCGATCGTGGCGTGCGAATGTTAGCCTCCTTCCCGCTTACCACCAAGCGAGTGTCTGGCTAAATCTGACCGCTGATTGGCCGTCTTTTAAAGGTGATTATGGAATCACCTAAATTTTATAAAATTTTTTTATTAATTCTGTTTGATATTACTTTTTAAGCGAATCCAAAAATATTTGGGCTTACATATTTTTGAATCACGGTGTATACTATTAATGGCAGTTAATTTGACGATATCTAGCCTCAGCTTTGCTTGGGATTTGACGTAGCAACTTATACTTTTCATCATATTATTGTTTATTAGCTTCTTACACTAATAAATTGAACTCTCTGACAAAATTGCTGTAGAGATTTTATTCGTAATTTTTTCCGTAGAATCGATTGGTGAAAATTGTTTTTCAAAATTGCAACCTTGAGATCATTTGTTTAAATAATTTTGTTATAAATAATGTAAAATGACATAGGAAAAATATGGGTATTTTTATTTTTGATTATGCTACGAATGGTTTCATTTGACGGTATCAAACCCAGTCTTTGTCTAGACGTTAATGGGCTAACGTCTTACCAGGAAATGCAATGCCAATTATATTTCATTACAGACCTAATATATTTATGTATTTAAAGAGAAACACATAACAAGTGTGGCTATCACTTGTTATAAATTATAATTGAATATTACTTAAGGTATGTTTGTTTCTACTTATTTTTGTATATATAAAAATTACGTGAACTTACACCGGTTTATCCTAGATCTAATATACTTGAACTCGAGAACTTTTATACGTTCTTACATACGTAAGAAGCTATAAATTTATTGTAACATATTATAATGCAACGTTCCATTGAAACATGTTATAATGCAACAATCCTTTGAAACATTCTTCATTTTGTCTATCTAATAAAAAAAGTAAAATGTCATAAAGAGAGATATAAAGGACCAATTATTTATATTTGAAACTGATTTCAACATATACGTACCTCATCCAATGCCATTGAGAAAGCACCTGAAATTGCCAAGCCTTGACGATCTTTTAAATCACCTTTAATAGCAGTAAGATAACCAATGGTGAGGTTATGTGGTCTCGGCGGAAATAACGTTTGATTTTGATCTAATTGCTGGGACAATTTTATCTCAGCATACGACTCATCTAAACATAAGACAAGTGACAGCATTAGCAGTACCACTGTAAAAATCCAGGCAAACTCTCGTGGTGATTGTTGTTGCTGCTTCCAGCGACGGATAGGTCTAGGGCAGCGAGCACTCAACGGCCCTAGGTGCATGACCGTTGCTGCCTCTAGTCACAATCTCCTACCGCTTCACTGACGTTATTTACCTGCATAACGTAAATATGATTTAATATTTACGAGTGAACACTTTTTAACTGTACGATACTTCGTACCAATATTGTCTAATATGGATAGAAAATAGAAAGATTGAATGAACTAAATTTGATTCGATACTTCTACAAGATAAGATTAAATTTTATCACTCAATAGACTAAACTACGAGATGGTTAGAGTAACAGTATTTAAATCTAAAAGACTATCACTATAAATTATAATAATGTATCAACATCAAGCAAGACGTTTAGAGATATTTTTCACGATGAATAATCTTTAAACTCGTTGTGGATACAGTCGACGGATTTCAGGTATTTCTCACGTAACTCAATCTATAGTGTTATTCTAGCGTTTTATAGTGTGCAAACTTCTAACCAAATCCAAAAACTGCTCGACAACACACATAGTAGTCATTGAGAATATGAATAAAAAATTAAGAGGTGCAACTATACCTTATAAATTAAATGAGTTTTAGATAAAATATAATGTAAATGTATAAAAATTCGATTAATGAGCTTAATGCAAACAATTATAATTGGATTGAAATATTATTGTGCGTGAACATCAATGTCTATTAGTTAACTAAAATATTTATTATCTATTAAAACTCTCAGATATGTTATAAAGTCTGATGTCAACTCGTCATGTCTCTCTCTCTCTCCCTCTCTACAGCAATAATATAGAGAATAACATAATATTAATAATAATTAACATAATTTTTATACATTTACATAATATTTTATCTAAAACTCATTTAATGTACATTATTAGATTTTGTTTGTGATTTGCCTCGTGGCTAGGGAGTGATCCTCGATTGAGCGTAGATAGTGAGGTGCAACTGTGCGTGCTGAACCTCCTCCCTTTTTGTAACAAGCAATAATACGCATGCGCATGTTGAGCAACCTTACCGATTAGTAACAAAGAGGCATCGACTAATGTGAGTATTGACAGTCCTTTAAGTCTCTTTCTCGCTCTGCCTAACTCGCCGATCTCTATGTACCGTTCTGTACACACACACACGTACATAAATTATATACAAACACTGTTATAATTGTATGGCTTTTCTTTTGGACAACCTTTCCTTTCTATCGCCTCCGCGACTTTCGCGATTTAAGCTGCGTGATCCACAACGCTCTCCGCGGGTCAGTTGGCAATTTGACCTACCAGGCCGGCCTTACGTGGCATAACGTAAGCCCGCATTAAGCTGCAATTGTGACAGTCATTACTCTATCTTGGTTAAATTAATATTGTAGCGGTCTAAATCCCCATTACAATGTATAGAAAATAGGCTTTAGAATACGTGTACCGAGGATAAAACTAGTAAATACTCGTAAGCTAAAGAGGCCTCGAATCATGGGGTATTAGATCAGACATAATTTGTCAACCATGAATTTTTACATTAGCACTTCCGATTATATGTGATCTGAAATCCATGCATTTTAAGGTTAGATCTCTCGGAGCATCTATGATATGACATTATGCATTTTAATACTGACATTTGAGATATGAACTTATATAGGGTGTCCCATTTTAAAGGAACCACCCCGAAATTATCTACGGTTGGCATTCTACAAAAAAATTGTTCAGACAAAAGTTGTTTGGGACAATGAGGGACAACTTTCCCAGAAATCGAATTTGACCTGAGATTTATTTTCAAGGTCATTTGAAGGTCAGTCATTTCTTGAATAGGAATCTATAATTTTGATCCCGGATTCGGAAAGAGCGAGAAATTCTACGTTCAGATAAGGTATTATGTGTGGGGTGCGGTTACCCCACCGCCCCCCGGCGTAAGGTCATGTAGAGGTCAAATTTATTATTTTCTTGATAGGGATGATCGGGCAAGGGTAAGATTAATTGTAATAATCCAATAACTTGCTGGTAATATCTTGCCCCCCCCCCAACCCAATAACTAGACGGTAATATCTTACTGCAGCAGGATATCGGCCTTGACCGTCAAAGTTACCCAGGGAGGCTTCGGTACCCAAACCACGTGAGAGTCGGAATCATTGAACGAAGAGAGAGACGTTGGCCACGAATACGCCCCGAGAGATAACAGAATATCAACAATTAGGAAGTTTACACGGCATCTAAGCTAAAAAATGGAAAATAAGCTTTCGTTTATTAAATGAAATAAAATTGTACGTAATCTTCAATAAATCTTCAATAAATCCTTGAATAAAGCCTTGAAAAATGGATAAAAACTGGAAAATAAGCTTCCATTATTATTAACAAGTTTGCCTAACTCGGCTGACTACCAAGCCGGCTGCTCAAAACACCTCATTTTTTTATTTCAGATTCGGAAAGAAAATTAAACTGGTCAACTCCCACATTGTCTTAATCCATTAAGGCTCATGCTAAACCTGGGCAAAATAGCGCCAAACTAATAATGTCAATCGTAGGTAAATCGAAAAAAAACCCTGTTTTTTCTTTTACCATTTACAATTATTTATCAAAAGTTATTTAATCAAGATATCGAAAGGTAATCATTTAGTCTGATAAAAAAACGTTACATACGTTTCTTACATATTTTTTCCCATAGAATCAATTTTTGAAAATAATTTTATAGGAAAACAAATTACTTTTATTCTCTTTTCTGGTGTGATTCCGGACAATCGTACAGAGTTTCAACTAAATCGGAAAATAACACTTCTTTAGTATAATTTATGAAAGAGGTGACTCGTGAACAGTCCTTCTCTGGATAGTTCACGTGGAAATTTCTTAGTGTCTAGCGACTCAAAAGGGTCCAATATGCCAGATTATTCGAGAAACTAAATTGTTGACATTCTGTTATCTCTCGGGGCATGTTAAGACCGATATTGTGCTGCAGCAAGATATTACCGTCAAAATTACCGAGGGAGGCTTCGGTACCCGAACCATGTGAGAATCCGAATCATTGAACGAAGAGAGAGACGTCGACCACGAATACGCAGAATTCGTCGTCGCATTATGAGACAGAACAACGATGATCCACGAATTCTCGTTGTTTTGGCAATGGTTGATTTGGATCATTATTTCTTTGCGTGAAATTCAGAGACGTACTGGAATCCCAAGAACAACAGCCCGTAGAATTTTGCGGCTTCATAAATTTCATCCGTATCACATAACTTTGACTCAAGCTTTGATGCCAGATGATCTCCGCCGCAGACTCGAATTTTGTAATTGGACATAAAGCAGGATTCGTGAAGATCCTGAATTTTTCAGATACGTAATGTTTTCGGACGAAGCTATATTTCTTAATAATGGACAACTCAATCGCCATAATAGTCATTATTGGTCTATCCAGAAGACTCATTGGGTACGTCATGTTGATAATCAGCATAGATGGAGTCTCATAGTTTGGTGCGGCATAATAAATGGTTATCTGATAGGACCTTATTTTTTCGATAGGGATGTCGACGGCGCAGCATATCTTAATTTCCTGAAGAATGAATTACCAGAATTATTGGAAGATGTGGACCTGAAAACAAGATGACGATTATGGCTTCAACAGGACGGTGCACCGTGTCATCGCTCACTAATAGTTCGTCACTTCTTGGACCAACGATACCGAAGACGATGGATAGGCGTTAATGACATTACTGAGTGGTGTCCAAGATCACCAGATCTAATAAGTCCAGATTTCTTTTTATGTGGCTATTTGAAAAGTGTTGTTTATGCATGGCAACTAACAACACGGCAAGAGATGATGCAACGCATCATACAAGCTTGTAGAGCTATTCCGCGTCACGTTCTGTTCTCCATAGTTGAAAACTTCGATCGTAGAATTCAACACTGCATAAAATTGAACGGCGGTATTTTTGAACATTTTATGAAATAAATGTTTGTGTTACAACCTTAACCATAACTCTATCTGTAGTCATCATCTTGTCTTCATTGGCTGGGCATTCCCACCTTGCCTTATTTGGCTGCGTAATGAATACCTTGCCTTCATTGGCTGGGTAGCCAACATCTTGTCTTGATCGGCTCAGCATTCTCACCTTGCCTAGATAGACTGGACATTCCCTCATTGGGTTATTATTATTATTATTATTATTATTATTATTATTATTATTATTATTATTGTTATTATTATTTCTTTTTTACAAGGAGTTGCGGAATCCTTTTTGCGGATTCCCCTTAGTCTTTCTGACTGAGGGGTTATGTGGGACTCCCCAAATAGGCCTACCCACTAAACCGCCATCTCCTTGGTGTCCTTCCCCCAGCCAGGGACTATATTGATATTACTTCTGACTGGAGGTTCTGTCTGTGTTCGTCCGTTCGTGTCGTTTCTCCGTGTCTTTTTACGTTGCGTCACTTCGTCTGCTCAGTCATCTGTCAGGCAGCCGTCCGCGTTCTTACGTCTCAGTATAGTTTCCGTATACGTAGCGACTAAGCGCTACCATTCGGGTTCATGCAGCATGAGAGACACGATGTTATCGGGGGTGATGGTGCCGACCGTTTCTTCTGGTTCCTGTCTGAGTCTTGTCCAGCGATCACACGCGAAAAACGTGTGTTCCGCGTCGTCTCGTTCGTGTCCACAGTACTTACAATCGGATGTTCGTAGTCTGTTCATATTGTAGAGGTACCGTCGGAAGTACCCGTGACCCGTCAAGAGCTGGGTGACGTAGAAATTTACATCACCAAATTTCCTTCCGAGCCACAGCCCCAAGTCCCGTATCAATCGTCTCGTCCAGTGACTACCTCGTTCCTCTGTCCACCGGCCTTGCCAAATGTGAATTGTCCTTTCGCGTTCAGCGATTGCCGCGTTCTTTCGTCCTATGTCCGCGCTGCTCCCGTAGATCCTTTTGCGCTCAAAGGCCAAAAGATCTTCGGGTATTACGCCAGCCACCACCAAAATAGCCTGCGCAGAGACTGTTCGGTAGGAGCAAGCGATTCACAGTACGCCCTGTCTCTGTACCATCATCATCGTCTTACAGTATTTTTTTGTCTTCAGGAAGTCTGCCCATATTTCCGCGCCGTATAGAAGGATCGAGTGAGCTGTCGCCATTAACAG